GAAAGAAGAAACTTTGCACTTCTCATTCACTTAATAACTGCGATCTTTACTTCGTTTAGAACCAAACATATTTTCTACAAACTTCATATTCATAAGATTTTTCGATCACATTTTATTATGAATATATTTTGCAAGTTAATTTCGTTACTAAAATAATAATTATCATGCTAAATTCTTCACATACACTTTTATACCGAACGGAAGACTGCACGTTTTATTAATATTTTATTTTTTGACAGATTATAATCTTAACATTTAAAACTATTGAATATTTAATACGACAATTAAAGAACTTTTTAATAAATAATAAATGGGGATTTTTTCCAGACAATATGACAAACATTAAATATTTGAAGTATTTGTTTTTTTTTTGTTTTATTTATTTAGTATACTCCGGCAAACAAACAAAAATAAATATCGCAAAAAATATCAAAAAATCCATTGGGACGGGAACCATAAAACAAAAATTACATCCTGACGACCATCAATGTTAGGCAAACATATTTCGTATTGTAGTTAGACGTCAATGTGTGGGCAGGGCTTGACAGGCAGACAAACAACGAATATTGCAGCATCGGCAAATATTATCAATACTCACACTGTGACAATGTCAGATACGCAAACCATACAGAAACAAACAACCGGACAAATGGTCAAATGAACATTAATGCCACTTACTGATGCGTTATACCGCAAAAAAGCACAAAGGCAGACAAACATCATTCATGCACACACACACACACACTTGAACACATTTATGTTACTTTCTCCCCATTTACCTCACTCAAGGGGGAAAATATGAGGACATTGCCTGCATTCATATGCAGATACTCACAGGACCCACGGACGGTTTTGAATGGTTAGGACGTTGTGTGTGTGTGTTTGTTCACAGGAAACAGCTTAAAATAATATTTTGTGCAAACAGGGTTGTGCAAAAACAAAACAACTGGCCAAAAGGATACAAAACTCCCACAAGGACAAAGGTGGAAAAAATGCCACACATACATAGCATAAGTATGTTTGTTAGTGGTTCGGAGTATCCGACCTTTAGTTCTGGTCTCAAAAATTAAATTGAAATGAAAGCAAATAATGTCAGTTACAGATGACAGAATGTGGAGTACCTTCTGACCATCCGAACGGTGTCCTGTCCAAATGTGTTACACATTGTTGGGATTGGGAAAGACAAGTTAACAATGCATAATAAATCATTTGTGTTGTCCCGATGAATTTAGAGACACCCAAAGTTGGATAACTAGACAGAGATATGGCTAAATTTTGTAGCCTATGTCGCTAAAGAAAATTCAAATATTTAATACAAATATTTTTGAAAAATGATTAACAAAAGGCTAAACACACTTGATTATAGTGGCATTTTTCTATTTTGAAATAAAATTTATTACTTGTTACCAAGTCTACAGAATACAGCTAGACTCGGTTTCCAACCTCAAACCCTGGAAATGTGTAATAATTTATATTTTTCTATAACCTTTAAAATAAAAAAAATCGGACGGTACCGCAGTATGGGGCCTATACCAACAAGATGTTGCTCACATTAACATCAATCAGAAGAAACCCAGGCACAGTTAGAAGAGCCAATATTCCAAAACATTTGTTACCCGTTACTCTTTGGGTTCTGTTAGCTATTGGGTTACTGTTCGTAGTCAGGTGTTTGTTGATCGATTGGGGATTCCTGATGCTTGGGGATTCCTATTCTGGTTTGATGTAGACATTTTTTCTTAAGGTGAACTCAATCCATCTCCCACGTTTAAACTGCTTTTGTATGGGTTCTTGGTTCGTTAGGATCCACAGCTTTATGTTACTTATGGTGTTCCTGACGATTTGTTAATGAATCATTTGCGTGATGGTGCTACACACAAGACAGGTTTCACTGTCGTACAGAATCAATTTTATACATGATTCCAATATTTTAAGTTTGGGTTTCCTGCATATATGTGAGCATCTCCATACACCTTGCAGTCGTTCAAATGCTGATTGCGCTTTGTTTAGCCTATTGATTATAATGGTTTTTAGATAACAAAATTTATGGACGTATTCAATTGATTGCTTTCTAATGATATTAATCTCAAGTCCAACATTGGGTGCTAATCTCTCCAGGCCTTCAAAGTTTTACTATATGTTTGATATATTCTAGCGATAAGTAAATCGACTTTCGATAAATCGACTTTTTGTATTGAAAACTCTAAAATTCGACATTTTATCTTTGAACTAATCTCAAAGTCGACTTTTCAAGATCGACTTTCGATTTTCTTCATTAGTACTTGGTTTATTATCATAAAACCTAAATTACACATTCCAGAACTTTATTTCGTCTGTTGGAAACAGCCTTTAGTCGGTAGAAGTAAAAAATCGATTTTGAACATGTTTGACAGATCGAAATGTCGACTTTTTAGTCGGAGGCAAAAATCAAAAAGTTTAAAGATCGACTTTTTGATCAGAGTAATAAATGGAAAAGTCTAAAAGTCGACTTTTGCGCTTGACTACGTATCCCTGATAGAGAGATATCATCCGCACTATATAAGTCTTCGAGTTGTCTTGAGAAACTCCACGTTATGTCACTTACCTCATCCAGTACAAATGTGATCTGTAGGAGTGACAGATGGCATTCTTGCTTTACTTCCGCGTTGACGCAAAATTATTGGTTTATGTTTCCGTTGTGAGAAACTGAGAGTTTTGCAGAGTATGGATTATATATACAGGGTGGTGCGCCATTCTATAGATTTTTCTAGGCAGTTGTCCTTATTTCCCGTAACAGGATCTATTATGAACTATATCTCAAAGGGGAATATATGGAAATATAGTCTATTATATTATGAACTATATCTCAAACTCTGTAGATATAGAACCCCTACAAGTCTATACGTCTGTATCGGAACTTGTATAGGGAATATATGGAACACACCAACACAAAAAACCTTTTACTTCAACATGTGTATTACTACGGTATTGTGCGAAAGAGGACCACGGAATCCTTTGGATTAAAAAGGGGACTGGAAAAAACGCAAAAAATATTTTATGTTCAACTTTTGCAAACGTATCAATCGAACTTTTTTTGGAAATGACGCGTTTCATTAACATTATGACTTTGGGGGTATGAATGGAAACTACTGAACAGAGAACACAGAATTATTAGAAGTATAGGGAGACTAGTCCCAAACTGTTGACCATATGCTGGTAATTAACAACGACTCTTTATAAATATTCTAAAAAGGTTATTAGACAATAACAATACGTGTTTTATAATATTGCCGTTAACATTTTTGGCGAGAACGGTGGCGCCAATTGCAGCAAATTTATGTGCACATTTTAACATTTGCCGCTCTAATTAATATCGCTCCATTTTTTCGAAATGAGGGTTGAGATATGGCGAAGGTTACACAATTTTTCATCGGAGACCCCATAAAATATCCATATTCTTGATTAAAAAGAATACCGAAGTCACGATGATAGATCTCGCAATATTTAAGATTTCGAAATTGGTGTAGGCCCCATTTAACGGTATCTCACATTATTTGTGAGAACCCAAAATACTAAATTAGAGCCAAATTGATTGAAAAACGTGTAAAAAATCTCCATATTGGGGGTTGCCATATTATGGGGACTACTCAGAAACTTGGGTCAATATTAAACAGTACGGTGATATCATATTACAGCCAATTCGTTTCCAAAATCCCCAAAATACCGAGTATTAGGGAGTACTGTTATATGGAGTACGGTCAAAAAATATAATTTTATTATGATAAAGAATATATACATATTGGGGTCTCCGATGAAAATTTCGAGGTGTTGGAAACGGAAAGACACATTTAATATACATTCCATCTTATGGTGGTGGGTATAATTACCTTGACATTGTCCCCATATTAAAGTCCCGATCGATTTTAGATATTCTGAATGTCCCTTTATTGTCGAGCCAGTCGAGCTAAAGGGTTTTTATTTGTTTAACAATTCTGATGAAACCTGGCCCAGTTCATTCTGTTGAAATTGGCGAAAATAAATTAGGTTCAAATCAGCTCAGTTTTATCGATAAACCAAAATGTAGACCGAAGCGTGAGTAATTTGGTTCCAAAATTCGTTATGGTTGAAATCGATATAATTTTGTCCAAATGTATATATCCATCACATCATGGCGACTTTTGCTATCATATTATGTACCAAAGGGCAAAGCCGGGAAAACTGTAGATTTGTACCGTTTCACATATCCCCATAATCAAACTAAAGGGTACTGATGAGTGTTTATGGGGAGATCTGACTTGTATGTCAGAGGGTATAGGTTTTAAATCAAATTTCGTAGGCACCGGAACTCGTAATTCTACCCTAATTGAAATTTTCAATTATTCTTAGCAATTTATATTTTCCATATGTTAAATCCGCCACACAACATATGAAATTCATTTACACAATTTGCCTTTAGCTGTAACTGATTTGCATATTCACACGAAATCCGATGATTGAAAGTGCGGACAAACAAAGAGACCATCATCAATTGTAACTCAAACCCTTAATTTCACGAAATAGTGCAACATTCAATTAGGGAAATTGCCACTTGTGATAATTGGCCATTTTGAGGCATTACGACACCCGTTCCATAATAATTCAATTTGAAAATTCGATTTTCAAATTTACACTTTGCTGACAAAAGCAATCGATGTGTGTGTGTGTGTATTTGTATTTACATACACAAATACATATACTTTTGTTCGAGTCCCTGTTTTGGCGAAACATGAAGGACAGCTATTAGTGTGTGTGTGCGTGTTTGCGTTTGTGTTGATGACGATTTTCCATTACTTGAGGCCATTTAAAGTGGAATTTCATCAACGCCAACACTTGTCATTGTTCGCTTGATTGGCATCTTTCATTTGAAAAATTTGCCTATTTCCGCATCCGCTCAAATTTGTCTTAATATTGCAAGAGTTCGTTACTACAGTTGTATTGTGTTTGATATTTGTTGTACTAATTATTTTGGTGTCTGTTCTTCGAAAATGTTGGAAGAAAACCCCATGGTTTCAATGAATATAAAAATTTGGAAATTTTTTGCAATTATATATCCAACGTCGGATAAAATGTGGCGTCTCTACGCGATTCAATTCGCTACGATATTATTGAATTTTATGCAATTTATGTTCCTGTTTGAAATGTGGGGTAATCTTGCCCCATTTATTCTGAACGTGTTCTATGCATCGGCTACATTTGATTGCCTGCTTCGTACTAATGTCATTATTTACCATCGTAAAAAGTTTGAGGCATTTTTGTTGGAGTTTGACGCGATGTATAAGGAAATCGAAGTAAGTAAAATGATTATTTTTTTCTATTAATATTTTAAAGTTTACTATTTTCGAAAATAGGAAAGTGACGATGACTACGCCAAGGCTAAATTGAAAGAATCAGCAGACTTTTGTAGGAAATTTTCTTTTTTCAATGTATCGGCATCGTTTCTAGATCTTATCGGTACAATGTCACATCCAATTTTAACGGGAACAAGAAGTATGTCTAAATTGTAACCAATGGTTGAGGTTTTATATTCGTCTTGTTATTTCAGCACATCCGTTTGGCGTCGCTTTACCGGGCACTGATTACACGGCATCACCATACTATGAACTGTATTACATACTACAGCTACATACTCCGATAACTCTTAGCGTCCTGTACATGGTTTTTGTTAGTTTCTTTGTGACATTTGCTTCGTTTGGCAAAACCGCCCTGAATATTTTACAACATCGTTTGAAGCTAATTTTTGAAAATTACGAAGACGATGCAATACGTCTGGAAGCTTTAAAACAATGTGCCAGATATTATGATCGGGTGGCAAGGTAATGCTTTGTTATTTATATTGTTACGTTCTTGGATTTTACTTAATCCCGTGTAGACGTTGTTTTATTTCCCAGTACAGTTCGTACTAAATAAAACGCGGGTTCTTTCTGATTATGAATATTACAATGATTTTATTGACACAACTTTACTTTGCACTTTACTTTACTTGACGGTTTCAATTCGCGATCTGATTCACAACTGACTAACTGCCTTGCCATTCCCCTATTTATATGAGCCCTGCCTGTCGCTACAGAAGTTTCTAGACGATCTGGTAACACCTAGATTTCGAACAATCTACCAATGCAACAAACACATACAAACTTACATTGAGTGAACAATAACAACAACACATATACAGGCGAGGGAGTAACAAAGAAAGAGGAATTAAGTGAGCATCAATTATGACGTTTAACAAGAATTGTACGTCAACAACAAAATAGACAATGAAAGAGGAAATGGAAGGATGTAGAAAAATCTATACAGTAGTTGTTGTTGTGAAGTTATTCGAATAAACTGCGTAGTAGAAATTTACGTTACAATTCAAATTCTTAAATTAACGGAATTCATCTAATTTAACTTAAATCTAAAGTTATATTCGTAACAATATATTAAACGGCATATATGTACACTAGAACTTTTTACCGGGTTAACCTACTTTATGAGGATTTATTTGACATATATGCAATGGAATTCACCATTGAAAACCACTGCGTCAACGAAATCCGGTTTAATATAAACGTACTATTAAATTAGTTATATTTGTTAAATCGAAGTAATTGATCAACTACAAAAGTTAGAGCATTGCACTGTTCGATTTGTAGTATAAAATCCGTTATTTCAAAATACGGAAGGACGGACATACGTAATATATGCATTATTCCTTATACAAAATACAGGAGTATAAGAACAACACATTCCTTTGAAAATTTTATAATGAATAATAAGTTGAACTCAGTCCGGCATTAGCGATTAACAGAGGTAATGTGCGCGACGTAACCGTCGAATAAGTCTGCCGAGCATCAAGAGGTCGTTTCGCAGCAGGTTGCTGCTCATCCGAGGACCCCATCCTCTTCATAACAATTGCACTATTACTGAAATCGCAATTTTAGCGGCAAAAATACAATTTTTAACTCTATTTCTCGCGTTTACGTCATCGAGAATAACGGAGTTGGATGTGAAAAGTCCGTCAGTATATTTGTAGTAGTTGATGTCATTGGAATGCTGAGAGTTTCAGGTCAGCCATGTAAGGTAAGGACTTGACAACTAAGCCTGAATAGCTTTTTGAGGCACCCTGGTACCCTAACTGCAAATCGTTATTTAGGAATGGTAATCACGCCTCGGCACTCTGTTATTTCCTCCGAGGCTCTCCCCTAAAACAAGCTGATTGTGCTTGACTGCTTATTTGATTCTCACCCACCCAATGAATTTAATTGTGCTTTCCACTATTTGCACATACATTCCTTGGGTGTTTGGTATTGCAAAGATGATATGTCGGATCGACTACACATCCGGCTGAATATGTCGATGTCCAAGAATAGATGGTATTGCTCATGGTTCATTCGACGTCTACGAAGATTGACCCATGGATCTTCCGGAGATTTTTCTCTCATATACTCCAAGAGCTGTCTCATCTGCTTGCGCAAGTACCCATGTTTCAGATCCATACAACAGCACAGATATATCTGCGTCTTTTGGAGTGTGAGTTTGGTCGTATCACCTTTTCCAGCAGGATGTTAAACAGGTCACACGATAACCTGTCACCTTGTCTGAATCTTCGGACCGAGGGGTCCTTTCCGACTTTAACTGCTGACATTGTGTCACTTAAAGTTATCCTGCATATCCGTATTAATTTTGCAGGAATGCCGAATGCAGACATGACTTTAAACACCTCTGAACGGATAGGGCTGTATAATGCGGTCAATGGTGGATTTGCCAGGCCTGAAGCCGCATTGGTATGGTCCAATAATGTCATTGACCATTGGCTTCAGTCGTTCACACAGCACGCTGGATAGCATTTTATATGCGATGGGAAGGATCAGCTGGTGCATGCTCCTGACCAGTATCCACCGGTCTTTAATAGTTCTGCTGGTAATCCATCGGCACCATCACGCTCACGTTTTTCTTGTTCTCAATCAACCTCATTCCGTTGTCGGATGTTTCTTCATGGATGATGAATTTTCCGACTTCAGATTTTTTCATGAAAATCTCCTAGCAGAATTTTAATATCATCGCCAGGGCATCGGTCATATGCTGTTTCTAGGCGGTCTGCTCGTCTTTGTCTTCGGTCGGAGCATTGACGCAAATAAGACTTTTATACAGATTATAGCAATTCGCTCATCTACGAGAGCGAGACGAGATCTTTTATTCTCGTTTTAACCATAAATCCGCAGCCAAATTCATGCCTCGTTTCATGACAGCTATAATACAGTGCGTAATCGTCAGATTTACTTGCGCCTGTCCCTTTCCATCGCATTTCTGGTAAGGCAATAATATCGGCTTTGTACTTCTTGAGTATATGCGCCAAAGCGAAAATTGTGCCTGTCCTGTTCAACGTGCGCACATTCCATGTGCAGATTCGCAGATCTTGGTCCTTTATAAGTTTGGGGGTTTGGTTTTCTTTTTCGCTGCTTTTTCATAGTAGGGGAGACTTGGGCACCTTCGGCACTTTTTGTTTAGCGCTCTATATCTCAGTACTTATTTAACATATATAAAAACTTTATGGCTGATTATTGTCCTCTGACACTTAGTTATAAAAACTAGTACCAAAAGGATATAAAACATTAGTATTAGTTACAAATTTGTACAGTTTTGTAAAAAAATCAAATTCGCCGAATGTGCCCCAACCCGGGGTAGCTTCGTAAGTTTATTAGCTAGAAATTTCAAACTTTGTGACAATTATGTATTTCGATATCCGATACTTATGTATAGAAACTAGTGATGTACGGTGAGAGCTTCATATCGAAAACGCGATTGCCGAAGGTGCCCCAGTCCCCCCTATTTGTTTTTTTTTTTATAGTTCTTATGGGTGAACTCACGGCACATATCAGCTCACTATTTCAACGGATGGTGAAAGTAGCTACCCCAGGTGACACCGCGGGGAGGTCAGTGTCCACAATTGAGATGAAAGAGGGACCAAGATAAGCCTGGGCTTTGCCATGTTAAAGTCAATTAGAGCCTTAGCTTGGTATATATCATCGAGGCGAGGCTACGATTTAGGAGCATAAAATGTAATGAAGGACTACGATAACAGCGTCAATTAACTCTTCGTCCAGTTATCTATGAGTGCATAAAGGGCTGGGACTGATTAAATTACACTCCTACATTCGCAATTTTATTTGAACTAAACGCTTACGTGAATTTTACATTTTTTACAGATTCGTCAAAGTGTTCGATGAAATGGTAACATACGTTATTCTTGGTGAGTTTTTGCTATTCGGTGCAATTATATGCTCGCTGCTATTCTGCATAAATATAGTAAGTCCATAGAGAATGTATTCCCGATTACTATAAAATTCGATTACTATAAAGTCTAATGGACTGTTCCCGTACTGCAAGAATCTACGAATTTTTACTATTTTTTCCGATTTCATAAAGGAAAAATTGTTATCGTAGTAAAAAATTTTACATTCTTGCAGGTTCTGGAACAGACCATAAGTGTGATATTAACATTTCAAATTATATTACAGATTGATACAATGGCCCAATTCGTTTCTATAATAATGTATGTCGGTACCATGTTATATGTTTTATTTGCCTGTTACTACAGTGCCAATGAAATGCTTGAAGAGGTAAATTGATATACATATTTTAATTTTGAAAATATATTATGACAAACATATATTTCATTCTCTCTTCATTGTATTCATCGACAATAAGAGCATAAAAGTCTCCGAAGCAGCATATTCTATACCGTGGTATGAGGGTACTACACAATTTCGCAAAACTCTTCTATTGTTCATACAAAGAACCCAGAAGCCATTGTGTGTAAGTAGCGAACGAACCCATAGTCACATTCCTTCATTCACAATAATTTTGTATTCTTTTAAATTATATTTTTCAGCTAACTGTTGGTAATGTCTATCCAATGACGTTGCTTATCTTTCAGTCATTGTTGAATATGTCCTACTCTTACTTTACCATGTTGCGCGGTTTAAATATCCAATAAAGAGTTGCACTTTGGCTGCAAGGCAATGGGCACTCAAATGGTTACCTTTGGTAGTAGAAAAAACACTTTCACCACTTAATAGAAAAATGCAATTTGCACTTTAGGGCGTTCGCGTTGAAATGCCTCAACACAAACTCAAAGTTATATAGAATTTTCTTTTGTTCGCCTGAAGTTGGCAAAATCAAAGTCAGCTAACTGCTGTGTAGGAATTATAGAGAGTATCATACTTTCGTCGTAATGTTAAGTAAATTTTTATGAATGGTGCCAATAAACATTTAATATAATGGCAATCAAATGAGGTTTCATTTGGAAAGCTGTAAGGTAAGCATCCAATTTTTTTTTTAACATAGCAGCAACATTGTAATTTTAGTCGCTAACGAAGTTAAACTTTCATTATGATGACCACTTAAGCTGACTCAGACCAATGGCTCTTGGTTAAAGTCATGGAATTAAAAATGCATTCCCAACGTAAAAATTTAATGGGGCTGTTGTCTTAAGTGACCTTTATATATGTAAGATGTTGGGACACAACGTTTGTTAAACGTCTGAATGAAAAGCGATTTGAGCATTTGTGTAAAAGGTACCACCGAATTTTATTGGCTTTTGTAAATTTTCACTTATATCTGAGGCATCATTAAAAATACATAAAAAACCAATGGTTGAAGTCAGTGACTGTGTTGCCCATGCTCTAGCTCTATACAAAAAAGGAATAGGGTGATTTAGCTGAGACTGTACAGATTGTAATATTTGAAGGACTTAGAAGGTCAACTAGTTAGCTAAGATTCGTGACAGTTTCTTGATCACCAATTGAAATTAAATTTGATATTAAGACCAAGCTTAAGGGTTCAAATTCTTTGTTTGATAAAAAATAATTAAAAGAAAAATTTCGAGCATATAAAAAATATTGGCCACCCTGCACCACATGTGGTGCATATGCCTTGTTATGTTACAAGTAGATTTAAAGAAAATAAATTCATGATTTATACATTGAACATACATTATGTTATGAAGTCTTAATAGGGGCCTATTCTCGGCGTTAACAATTTTTCGGATTTAATTCAAATCTACTTTAATTCTAGAATGTCCCTACAAAATTTCAAGTGAAAATCTTAACAACTCTTGAAGATATAGCCGATTTATTGTGTCAGCATCAAGTGACGGCAAGAGTGATTCTCAAACTTTAAACGCATTGTTTTACGAATGGCGGGCACTATAACTCAAAAACTAATAATCCAATCGGTTCCAAATATTGACACGTTTCTCTGAGAGTGTATAGCTCTCGTATGAACTAGGATAAAGCCAATCGGTGAAGAACTTCCTTATTTTTTAACATAGGTTGTGGTCAAAGAGGTGCATTGCCAAAAATCAAAGGATCGCTATCTTATTAATATTAGAGCTAAGTCAAGTCTGGCAACGCTTGTTGTGTAAAGTCGAGTTTTTGTGTTGTGTAAATACTGTGTTTCAAATTTCATTAAATTTACTTATTAATACTTTGTTATTTAAATATGTTTACAACTTTTTCGTAAATTTGTCATTTAGCAACAAAGTGCATTTATGTGTTAATTTGGTGATAAAGTGTTTATAGTTTTATTTCCTTATTTTTCTTTTAGTGCTTATATTCTTATTTTCTTATTATACGTGTTTGACGTTTTGCTGTCATACTGTTGTTGTCTTTTATTCAAGCATCAACAGTTTTTGTAAAAGTTGAGCATATTTTCAGGATCGTACTCAAAAAGTACATTTCAATTCACTTCTCTCAGATGACATCAGTGTTTCATCTGGTGTTCCTCAGGGTAGCCACTTGGGTCCATTACTCTTTGTCCTTTACTTAAATGATCTTCCATCTGTAATCCGATTTTCTAATATTTTAATGTTTGCAGATGATGTAAAACTGTTTTGTAGTCTAAATACACTTAACTCCTCATTAAATTTGCAACATGACCTACACTCATTAGTAAACTGGTGTAGTTCTAATGGTATGACGCTAAATCTTAAGAAGTGCAAAAAATTAACTCTTTCTAGGACTAGTCCCATATCTATTGATTACTTTATAGGTTCTCATAAACTTGACTCTGTAGACTCGTTTACAGATCTTGGTATTATTTTAGATACCAAATTGCGTTTTCATTTACATATTGAGTCATCTGTTAATAAAGCTAAATCGTTGCTTGGTTTTATAAAGCGATGGTCTAAGGAATTTGATGATCCGTATATAACTAAACGTCTATTCATCAGCCTTGTTCGACCCACATTGGAATACGGCTGTGTACTTTGGAGCCCATTTTATAAAAAAAAAACCCAGTTTCTTTTATTTGCTCTTAGGGGTCTACCTTGGAATCCTCTTGAAGCACTCCACCGTACGTTAACCGTCTGAAACTGATTGATCTTCCAACTCTTGAAAGAAGGCGATTAATGCTTAGAGCAATATTTATAATAAAATTGTTACGTGGACAAATCGACTCAAACTTTTTAACTGGGGAAATAAAATTTAATATTCCCTCCCGTAGAACACGTAATTGTTTACCTCTTAACTTATCCCTAGTTAGACATAATTATGAACTAACTTATCCACTTCGCGCTTTATGTGAAATTTATAATAATTTATATAACAGAGTATCATTTTCTGACCCCATTCATGTATTAAAAAATTCTATTATTCGTCTATAATTGAGGTATAGTTGCCAGACAATTGTGTATGTAATATTTCTGTTTGCATATTTTGTCAAAACTATGGTGTTTTTGTTTATGGTTAACAACTAATATAAGACTGGCTGATGTTAATTCTGTAGCCAGTAATTTTCCTTCACTACTAACCCTCCATAGTCCGGACTATGGGGTGTACGTTCTCTCCACGTTATGGGGAGGTGGCCCCCTCGGTCGGCAGGGGCGGGTGTGAGTGGCGTGGGAACGTTTGAAAAAAATCCGAGAGCCACACATGAAATCTTTCCCTTATGTATTTTTCATTATGTTTTAATTAATGAAAAATATATTTGCACGCCCCACCTTAAAGGTGGAGTATATTCAAATTTGTCATTTCGTTTGAAGCACTTCGAAATATACATATATTCTTAACATAATAAAATTCTATGTCGATTTCAATATATCTGTCTTTTTCTTAATATCATGATATAGTTCGCATGCAGATTCGGTATATTAAAGCTTTTAGCCGCATTTTTCAACCGATGTGGCATTTCTTGGATGAGATCTTGACTCTGGATAGAAGAAGGATGGGAAATCTGTTGAAATATATTCGGTACCTTGACTGCAAACCGTAAAATACTAATTGGAACACCTAACCTAAGCCCTTGGAATTTATTATGGAAAGAATAAGGGTGGGACCTCAGCCACGTGTAACGATATATTCCAAGAGGTGCTTTATTTATTATAAGTCAGACATAAATTGAGTTCGCATGGTATCTTTATGCTAACATGGACACGATGGCCCCATACAGCGGAGGTGAATCATAAATGTCAATCTCAATCATGTCCAACTATGTAAGGATCTGTTCGAAAGCTGCCCTGAGAACTGCAACATGGTGTCTTCTCATGACTCCAGTCGACCATCTTCATGAGGATACGATGGTCCCCATACAGCGGAGGTGAGTCATAAATGTCAATTTCAATCATGTCCAGCCACGCAAGGATCTGTCAGAAAGCTGCCCTGAAAACTGCAACATGGTGTCTTCTCATGACTCCAGTCGACCATCTTCATGAGGAGACGAAGATCTCACTCGCCCATCGACACAATTATATGTTGTCGATATAGTGCTTGCTTGGGTGTTATCGTTGGGAGCACCCCTGTCATAATCTTATGGTCAAAACTCCCCAACATAGGCACGTCAGGAAAGATCTTGATGATCTAGAGAGAGGTCCAAAGAAGCGTGATTCTTCAATTCCTATTGGGCAAGAATTGACGGCTCGATACCTAGCACATATCATGCTTGTGGACTAGGACCACACGACACTTTGTATCTCAGCAACTGCCTAGCTAAGCCAACTTACTTATCGCCGAATTCCCTGTGGATACAATTCATTCAAGTTGCAACATTTTTAATTTTGGAGATAGAGGAACTAGAACCAGACAAAATGCTTGCCACCAAGTCTGAACTAGCACGTGGAGTTCCGAAATAGGAATGATAGAGATTTTAGTCTGTAATTTGTTGATAGTTCGCGACATGGAGATCTATATTAGCTATATTTGATTAGTTCGATTAGACACTGGAACGTTATTGGGCTACGACGTCAGTCCCGAAGTTAGCTTATAGTTATATTTTAATATAAAATTTGCTGTTTACATACTCAATACGAAACTTGAATTTTGTTCTTGGAACACCCCTTTAATTAACTTCATCAATAGTTATTATTCTACATTCCACTGTGGTGGAAAAAGTGAAGGTGTCATCGATAGGTGTGGCAAACCATGATCCCGTTTAACCATCCCATCAGGTTTTAAATAATTGCTTAGATACTCGTGTGTAGGCTTTGCTACAACACCATTTTAATGATCATTTAATTTGCGAAGTCGCAACATTGTTGCAGGATACCAGGTAGCCAATTATAAATATCCAACCGGTGGAAAATCGTGGAGAGCCCAACACATCGGCAGAGTTATAACATCTGTTGATGCAACAGTGATGATGCGTGTCTTTTGTTGTGAGCGACGTTAACCACTTAAGCTTTATGATAGAGGCCAAGGATACGATACGCATGTGCCTTAAGCTTGAATCTTAAATATTAACTATGTTAATAGCGATACCGATAATTAATGGTAGGCAAAAATGTCGTAAGGAAATAAAAGTACAGCATGAGTAGTTTTTAATATGTTCAATATTCAAACATTGTTGTGTGAGTGTGTATTTATGTATTAAAGAAATCGAATGCATGAAAGTGTATAGCAGAAAGACAGATAGTAATAGCAAGGTATCATATATCAGAATTTCTAGTTCATATCGGCAGAATTTCAAATTTTTTCTTGTTTTATTTTTATGCTATTATCGATAGCTATACTCAAAGTCATACTATA